CTTTGAGGTGCCTCCAACGTAACGAGGAGATTAGCCACTGCTGTCAGCGGTGGATACTCCAGGGACGAACAAAAAAAAAAAACAACTCTTATGAATAAAAATAAAAATATCAAAATTATCAATAAAATACTTATTGATAATTTTATGAAAAATGGGGTGTTACAAATCAAAATCACATCAAAGTTCATTTATCTCGAGTTTCACTCTATAATTATATAAATTCTTTATGTCATTCTTTTATTCAATATATAAAACTTTACTTTAAAAAAAAATTTAATTAAAAAATACTCTTTATATATCATTCTTTTACTTAATATTGGATTAATTTATAAAAATAAAAAAATATAATATTGAGATAAACAAATATTAATTTATCTGCAGTAACATTTTTTTTAGAAAAATATTATAATAGCCTATTAATTTATAATATATTTTAATAATTGTAAGTCAACAAATATTATGAAAGATACAAAATGTATTATTGGGCGTAACTAATTAGTTTGATTGGAAAGTTATACCTTAATTTAGCAAAGTAATTTATGAACGGGCGTCCTATTATATTTATAAAATTGAACATATAAATACATCCATTGAAAGAGAGGCAAATTTAATATTGGAAATTTGCAATAGGTAGGATGTGACACGCTTGCTTGAATGACGCTCGACACAGTTAACAATCATTTTCTCGATCAACCATTAGTTAAATAAAAATCATTAATTCCATTTAGAGAAGTATTGTTATGGAACAAATTTAGAACTTCTGAATCTCAAGAATAAGACTTTTTCTTATTTTATATGAGAAAAAAATTAAATAATGAGAACACAATTAAAGACAATAATATTTAAATATTAATTAATATTATAACATGACATTAAAAAGATTAAATTTGAATGAAGATTGATACGTGCTTCTGTGTGTAAAGTTCAATGTCGTGTTTATGTGTAATATGTGTCTATTAATATCTAAGATCAGTTATTAAAATAAAATAAAAAAATATTGAGAAACATAATATTTGATATGTTAATAATTTAAAGAAAAAATAGCTTTTTATCATATCTGATATATACTTTTTAAATGCTTGAAATTCTTCGTACGTCATGTAAAAAAAAAAAAAAAATTCAGACGAACGTAGTAGAAGTAGTAGCTTCAGGATTTTGTAATTAGCAAGTTGCCCTGATGTTAAGCGGACATGGAATCTCATAATCTAGTAATCTACAACTTCTTCTGATACATTCAAAGGAATGCCAGTTGGGTTTGGATTTTTGTGTATTAGATTAGTCATTTTGTACTCGCAGATCAAAGATTGCAGTGGTATAAAATATATTGAACGTTGATTGAATATCACATAGTTTAATTAGAATGGTCATAAGCCAGTATTGCGGTGTTATTAATATTGGGAAGAAGCTGGGAGACCCAAGAAAAAGGGAAGAAACGAACAGAATGTCTTATCGAGATGTGGTCAAATGGTTAATTAGTAGTTTTGAAGCAAAACAAATGTGTCATTGAGTCACCGGTAAAAGTAAAATATTATAGGTCTTATATGTTACATGAAATAAGATGAATATAACGTAATATTAATTGAGAAGAGTGTAAAAAAGAACAGAAACCAAAGTGTGTGAGAGAGAGAGAGAGAGGATAATTACATGCAGAGTGGCCCATGGTGTGGTCACATGGATTCCTCTGAAGTCTGGACTTTGTCACGACGCCTGAACTAAGTTGTTTGACTGTTGCATGTTTTTCAATTTTCTTTTGCTCCCTCATTTCCTCTTGTATGGATCTACATAAGAATCTCTGTGCCAATACCAGCTTTTCGTGACCTTTCTCTGTTCCTTGCACAAGTCTCGGACCACATTATTACCAAATCAAAGCCCACACAGACTTAATTCATAAAATCTAAAGGAGAAATGTTATCTCTTCCCAATTAAACTATCCCAAATATTCTCCCACAAATTAAAAGCTTTCATTTCACCAAGTTATTTTTTTTGTCAATTTATTATCTTAATACGTGACTTTTGTAGAAACCACGTCACATACAAGTAATTGTTACGCCAACCAAAAATAACATTAGTACAAAAAAAATCAAAAAAAATATCTCTTAAAGATGTTAACCTTAATTTATTTCAATCTTATAACATCGATTTATAAAGTATGACAATTATTTTTTATTTATATATTTTAATTTGGTCATATGTATTATTCATTGATGTAGAATAATCTCTAATACATACTTCTCACATCGATGAATAAATATCTTGAGAGTAAAATTTGTTTGATTAAAAATAATATTTTGTTTGGATAGATTTTAACATAAACATTTTAAGGTGTCTAAATAAAACCTTTTAAATTTAGGAGGCGAAGTTAAAGTCCAAAATTCATGAGACAAAAATATATTTTAATCTTATGAATAAGTGTGAGACGTTTATTTAATTTATTATTTTTAAATTTAATGGTTAAATTACGTTATACCATTTTTAGAATTATTATACATGTTATAATATTTATTATAATTATTTATTAATTAAATATTAATATTTTAAATTAAATATCAATCAATATTTTTTTTGTTAAATAAAATTATTTATCATAAATATAAAATATATTTTATATATTTAAAAATATTTATATATACTAATTTTAAATATAATGTATTATAAATTTTAATTATATATAATAAATGTGTATTCCCACATTTTAATACGCTTGTATACAGTAGAAGGACCATAGTAATGTCCTTTAGCTCGCGGTAGTTAAGAAATATGGACAATGCATGGGGCATTAAAAATAAATAAATAAATAAATAAAAAACAGATATCCACAAGAGAGATTAAATATTAACGTTGTCAAAATGAAGACCCGGCCCCTGTTGACGAAATATGCATCTGATGCACTTTAACTTCTCTATACTCTTCTCTATGTTTCTGTCTCCTTACCGACCAGCCGTTTGTTGCACACCTAAATTCATATATGCACCCACAATCACATTATTTTCGCCTACAATTTCTAATTCTTCTAATTAGATTTTATTCAGATACATTTTGCATTTTGGGAATAAGACCAAGTTTTCCAGAAACAAAACATTGAAGAATTATATTTTATTTGATTCTACATGCATTTATTTTTTCAGTTCTTCCAAGAAAAAAACTATGCAGAAAATTAATCTTAATTGTGAAAAAGGAAAGGTGGTAGCCAAGGTAGCATTTGACAAATTAACACAACGAAATAAACTATTATATATATATATATATTTGTTTTATTCTCTATAATCACCTTGTTAATAAGCATAATGATCTTTAAGTTATCTTCAATTCATTATGTTCTTGACTCTAGTAGAAATGCATACAAGGACTTCGATGTTAAATTAGAGGTATATATTCAGCATGTTCTCTATTATATGTTAAATATATTTTAAAGAGTCTTATATGAGCTAGATTTTTTAGCACGCTTATTTTATGAATAAAAATTACAACGATGATAATAAAATAAAATTTGAATATATGTATATTATCCGAACAAGATTCTTTGGCACATAACTCAAGGGCTCCAGGCTGAACAATAATACTCCTGAATGCAGCAACAATTAAGGACGAGGTGTGTGATATATCGTTCATAAATGTATGTTAGGAGTCTTATTTTTGTGTCATGATTTCGCTTAACACTTTAAAATTGGATTAATTCAATGTTTTAATACAAGTGGGCCACTATATAGATTGGACGAACCCATCAGCTCATTTCAAAGCAAATGAATTAATGGTTCAACCGTTGATTATTGGTCAAACCGTGTGTGTATAATAAAATAGAATAATATGAAAATTATATATAATCTATCATGACAGCTTTTTTGCAAGCATTTTTTTTTGTTTTTGTTTTTGGTTGTAAACCTTTGCAAGTAGTTAGTGAGCCTGGATTTAATTACAATCTCTATCTACAGTTAGATATAAAATCATTGATTTACTTTCATCCTACAACTCTTACAGCAACTATATTAAATGAAGTTGCTTGATTTATATATTCGTGCTACACAAAACTCACAATACAGGGGGACATGATTTTCGTCGAATCAAATATTACTATGCTATCCTGTTTAAAATGGGATTTTTTTTCCATAAATTTTTATATAATAAATAAAGAAGCATAGAAAGGAAAAAGAAAACAGTATAATAAAAATAATTAATACAATGGAGAGATAATAAAAATAATATTAGAACCAATAATATATTTATGAATAATGCAATTCAATAACCAAATATCATAATAAAATTTGTTAGTAGTTGTTTAACAATTATACTCTTTAATTAAAGGCTAAAGTTTAATATTTACTTGGACAATTAATTATGATTGAAAACACTATTTTATTTTTATTAGGTTAATTTGGTGAGAATGAGTTATATTTTAAAAATAATTATTTAAAATGTTTATTATGTAAAAAAATTTGTGTACCAATCACTTATAAATTATTTTTGTAAGATTGAATATAAACTCAAATTCAGATTGTAAGAATAAGAAAACAACTAATGATTAGTATTACTTATGTATTTAAATTAGTGTAACTTAATTCTAATGTGTGTTCTGTCTTACATATTTGATCTAAAATTCCTATTAAAATCTTTTATTCTTTCGCTCCAAACACATATGACAACATCCTATACTCATGTTTCCTTGAATCATAGTATTTATGACTATTACTCGGTATGCATTGTTAATATTATGGGATCTTGTGAATTGTGCATCTTCCTCTCACTTTAAAAATTGTAAAGTTTAGGATTTAAAATTTAGAATTTAGAATAATTCATTCTAAAATTAAGACACGTAAAGAATTAGTTAAATTGACAAATGGATGATCTACTTGTACATGGTCGAGTGATCAAAATAATACACAGCCCTCTAAACTTAAATGTGTAAACATAAAAAGTGTAATAGATAAACGGGAGACCCAAATGGTACACTTCTTGACATGTGGTATGAGAAGGGGTTGGGAAGGTCATTAGTCTATTGTTAGTACTATTATAAATTCGAGGAATTAACAAATTGTGAAGAGAATCTTTGTGTGTGTTCCCCGGTGGTTAAGTTCGTGCGATCATGGAAGTGGTCTACTACGACGAAAAACCTCACGTGCATAGGGCTGTAGCTTTTTGTTTGTGTGAGCAATGAATCCACTTTTGAGATTTGAAGGCAAAAGGGCATTGTTCTGTTCTTAAGGTCATGATAAAAGGCTTACTTTGTTTCCTCTATTAGTGCTCCTGCCTTGGCCTTTGGTAAAGTTAGCACTTAGCAGTACCTTCCTATCTTCTCCCAAAACTCTTTTTAGCATCTAATCATTAACCTTCATCTTCCGTTCTTTCCCAAAACTCTTCTCACCATCATCTAATCATTAACCTCTTCATCTCACCCCAAAACTTTCTCATACAACCTCCTTTCTCTGTCTTTTTTTCTCTTTCAAACCTTTTCCCCTCGTCTCTGCTTTCTCCTCTTTAACAAACTGGTGTCTCCTTTGAGAGCTACACATCCACTTCCCCACTTCAAAAATAATGGCCCTAGAGGCCGTGGTTTTCCCACAAGATCCATTCACTTACAATTGCAAAGACTACTTGTACTCTTTAATAGGAGGGGGAACCATAGACCACACCCTGCATGCAAATTGGGATTCATCTTCTCCTTCGCTCTTGCAAAATGTCAAAGACCAATGGGACTCACACTCCTCCCCTGAACCATGCACCGTCGATCATTCCCACCCCGGACCTTTCCCTCCTCCTCCTCCTTCCTCCGCGGAAGCCGCCACCGGCCGCCGCAAACGACGCCGTACCAAGAGCGCCAAGAACAAGGAGGAGATCGAGAATCAGAGGATGACCCACATTGCAGTTGAGCGCAATAGAAGGAAACAGATGAACGAGTACCTCGCTGTGCTTAGATCTTTGATGCCTCCTTCTTATGTTCAAAGGGTTAGTCCTCACTCTTCATTTCATCATTAACACCAACAAAGTGGTCTAACTCAATTAGTTGAACTACTCTGCTCTTGCTCTTGGTGATGTAGTCACAATTTTATGGTGATCATTGATATCACAAACAATTGCAATTCATGCGACGCATAACAGTATGACGCCGTTTTTTTAAATCTGAGACACAAGTACACGAGTTTGATTTGTTTTACAATTGATTTGACTCAAGTTAGGCAAATTTTCGGAAATGTTAATGTTAAAATAGAAACTAACCGTACCACATGCGTGGTTCCAAAACAAAACAGGGTGATCAAGCCTCTATTATTGGTGGTGCGATTAACTTCGTGAAGGAGTTAGAGCAGCTTCTGCAGTGCATGAAGTGCCAAAAGAGAGCACAGGAGCAAGGGCAGGTGAATGGCTTCTCTGACTCTGTCTCACCCCCCTTTGCTGAGTTCTTCATGTTCCCTCAGTACTCCACACGTGCGACGCATAACACTAGAGGCTACCCTGGCACGTGCGAGGCCAACATGACGCGGAACCACTCATGGGCCGTCGCGGATATTGAAGTGACCTTGGTGGATGGGCATGCCAACATAAAGATACTCTCCAAGAAACAACCCGGGTTGCTTCTGAAGATGGTTATTGGGCTTCAAAGTCTTGGCTTCGGGATTCTTCACCTTAATGTCACCACTGTTGATGATATGGTCCTTACTTCAGTTAGTGTTAAGGTAGGTTCAACTTTCCGCCTATTAATTTCTCCTACCTAGCTACGTTTCTTTAATTCTCTTTCTACTCTAATCTTTATGAAAACCTATATTTACTTTCTTGTTTCTTTTTTTTTTTTTTTTAATTTTTATTACAACACTTATCATATTTATCATTTTTTCTTCTTCTTTTTATCTATTTATGAAAAATTCTATGACACCATGATAAATTAAAGAGCTTTATTTAAATTTTGGACTAATAACAGCATGTGTTCGATTTAACAAAATCATATCATTTGTTTTTATTGTTATGATTTCATTAAACCGGAGTCTATTAGGTAGTCTAAAAACAAATCATTTATAATCTTGTCTAATTTGGCAATTTCTATGTGACATTTACTCAATTATTTTAATTTACAAAATGATCAATTTAGTCCCTGAACTATTATATTCTCTGTTAAATGATCCTTAAAGTAAAAAAATTATATAAGAAGTTCTTAAAATATTAAAAAAATTATCAATTTAGTATTTTCAGCTATATATTTTATTAGTATTGAGGTGTTAACTTAAAGGATTTTTCAGTAGTTTGTAGACTATATAGCATAATTTTCTATAATTTTATTACTTTAATGACTAATTAGAAGAGAAAATAGTACTTCGACCACCAAATTGATGGTTTATTAAAAGAATAAATAAACAGTGAGATGACGACAGCTAACCATGTTATGTTTTTTTTCACTGGAGGTGATTTACTCCTGAAAATGGATTGAATGTTTCTCATTGTTCAGTTTTGATTAATTTAAAATATTTAACAATTTGTATTAATTAATTATTTAAACAGGTAGAAGAGGGGTGTCAGCTGAACACGGTGGATGATATTGCAGCTGCTGTGCATCAATTATCACGCACGGTCCAGGAGGAAGCTGTTTTCAGCTGAATTAAACTTGGAAACGTTAAATGGCTATTGCACCCTTTTTTTTTATTTATCAATAATTGTGCAAAACAGCTTTGTTTTGATACCCTTGTTGAAACGCGTTCAAGTTTGCAGGGTTTGGCCCGTGAAGGCATATAGAACAAGGGATAGTCATGTACATGCATCAGTCTCAACGAAATATATATATAAATGTTCCATTTCAATAAGCTAGGAGATGCTAATTAAAGTATAGGTTTACTCTTTTCTCATTTTATATTTCTTTTCCCTCTTTTGCTTTTCTCCCAGCTGCAAAGAATATAGCCTGAGAGGGAAAAAAAGTGTTGGAAGCGACAATCAATTTATGTTGTGGAGGCCCCCATACTGAACTGTGTATCCACTTGTGAATTATTAGCGTTATTTCCAGAGCATGACCATCGTTAATTTCCTTGGAATGTCTGTGGACCTCTTACAATTATTTTCAACATTTCAGTATTAAATAATTCCCTCATGCCACTTCAAAACACGCATTTGATACGGGAAGAAAAGAAAAGAGTGCTATGCCTATAAAAAGAAGGAATGGAATTTCATCTTAATACATTGTATGTAAATTAAAAAATCCTTCTACGTTTGAAATAATTGGCATCGATCTAACATTATTATACGTGCTAGTGTATAATTGTACATCATGATTTTGGTTGTCCTTTTTTCCACGAAACCCGATATAACATAACTCCTCTGAAAATTGACCATTCCATGGCATGTTTGACTCTACGGTTTACAGGAGGCATGGTATCAGTGATATGTAAAGATCATGTTTTCGTCTATGATGATACATACGTATGTAACTAAAAACGAAGATATGTCTGGTCTATTTAATTTAATTTGAGTTCCGCTATTTCATTCAAGAAGATATTACACATTCAAGTGAATCAGTTATGTACTCCGGAAGTTTTTTCCGGTAGTTAGTTAGTTTGCTTTAATTAGCTTTAACCTTTTGTGTTACATTGATTAGTTAGTTTGTTTTCTGCTGTATTCAAGTCACAGATGTATATATTTTCTTCAATAATGAGAATAACATTTTTTTCTCTATTCAAATTATATCATTCAAGATGATATTAGAAATAATGACTCCTCTGCATTCTGATTTCATCTTATATCTTTAAAGAAAAAAAACACCTACAAATCAATTATATCTCTCAAAATCATGATCATATCATGAAAAATATAGAGGTATCTATTTGTTCAACGTTTTTCCATAACATAAAATTGATTATTTCTTACCATGAACTCAATTTTCTTTTATTTACGTTTTGTTTGAAAAATGGGCAGCAATCAAAGAGAAAGAGTGGAAATATGTGAAATAAAGTGAAAATTGAGATTATTTGACTGGATGAAATTAGGTAAAAAATAGAAAAAATTGATATTTTAAAATTAATTTTATACATAGTTTAAGATTTATATAAAAATAAATAATTTAAATAGTTATATCATTTTATTCATCGTCTATGTTTTTGAAGTATATATAAGGATTTTTACTTTTATATATAATTTAGTAACAATCGATTATCTATTGGGTATAAAGAATTATGTTAATATGTATTGTAGTGTGCATTTTTACAACAGTTACATAATTAATTATGTGACTTTACTATATATCATAGACCTTTTAACGTGTCAATTATGATCCCACCATATAGTTGATTATGGTAACTTCTAATACACAAATAACATAGCACCATAATGATTTATGATCCCACCATACTTCGAGTTTTGGAAGGTAGGGTGAGAGCAGTAATAGATTGAGGTTTCAACGAAAATGGAGGGAGCTTGCTGGGATGGGAGGAAGTACAAGCGGATTAAGAGCAAATAGGATGAAAAGTAGTAACTCACATGTATAACAAAAAGGTAATCAATAGAGAGATTTTGAACGTCACAATTTTATGTAAACAAATTTCTCTCAAATCCTCACAGTTTTGAAGGCATGAAATTTGTTGTGGGACCTATATATACCGTAATCTCACTAATTCTTGTCACACTACAAGAAATATTGCATGTAGTGACATACAAAAAGTGTCACTATAAGTACAATATATGTAAGTATATGTCTATTTGACATATAGTTACACACAATTTTAGTGTTGATTTTGAATGAGATTTAACAACATATTTTGTGTGTCACTATAGTCTATACCCACACTTTTTAATAAGATACCAACATATATTGTAGTTATTATGTGAGTAAAAGTAATTTTTAGTGACATGTATAGTATCATTATAGGGTGTACATGTGTGTCACTATATGACAATTTTGTTGTAGTGTCAATTCCTTACACCCAAAAAATCATCATACTTCCCTTTCCATCTCCTCCATTTCACGTTATTTCTAGTCCACCAAACACAATGTTATTGCAATGGAAGATACTTTGAATTCTTCATTATCATTTATTCCTTATTTACAATTATTCTTGAACTCAATTTTTTTTTTGATTCTGTAAACTATTTTTTAAATTTTTATTCTAAAGTAAAATATTGGTGGCTACCTTGTTTATAATAATAGATTAAACCATATTAGATTAGGTTAAATCCTTTATTTGTGAGCCGAAAAGAATAAGTTCAATTTGACCTTACTCAATGAGTTAAATAGGACAAGTAGGATTACTCTAACCAAGATGTTCTAGTTCTCTTTCTTTGAAGAAACTTTAAAAATAAAGTTAATGAATAACATACAACAAAAATTATGTATTTAATACCACAAATCGATCAAATGCTTGTAGCAACATATGTATATAGAGGAAAGTTTGGATTACAAAATCAAAATCCAAAATCATTCAAATTTCAAATTGACTGAAGAAAAAAAATACTCTCATATAACAATAACGAGAATTTAGATAAAGTTATCTGACCTAGACTTTCTTTTAACTTTCTCAAAATGTTATTATTGTGCCTTTCTACTTTCTGTATTCCTAGAATGTATGTGCTAAAAATATAACATTCTGATATACATTGAACCCTCCTCTAATTGTCACTTTTTGTAATTCTTTTATTTCATGTAAAGTCTCCTTTTAGTCCACATGTTTTTCATTCGACATAACAAGACAACAAGTGTGGTAACTTGCGTTTTTTCTTTTGAAAAATGACTTCTTCTAAAATTTATTAGTCAAAAAAATCTCCAAACCTTTAAAACTTTAAAATATTAAAATTAAAGAAATATTTTATTTAAAATTATTGATTGGTGGGAATTGTTGAATGGTTCAAAAGATATAACATTTTATCTAAGTTTTCTCCTTCTAATTTTATAACTTTATATATAAATAGAACAGTATTCCTTAATTAGTATTTTTTTCAGTTTTTTTTTTTAAGATGACACTTGCAATAATTTTCTTTTTTGTGTCGCACAATTTTGTATATAGAATAGATTTTCCACCTCAACTTGTGCTTTCAATTTTAAAGAAACTAGAAAGGATCAAATGGAGCACAATAAGACTTAGGTCAATGTTTGGTTATTATAAATATCTAAATTAGAGCCTGGCAGCACGGGCCTGTTGTGCCCAAAGTGTGTGGGTATCCTCCAAAGTCCCACATTGAGTAGTTTGTGTTGTGCCAAAGTGTGTGGGTACCTTCCAAAGTCCCACATTGGGTAGTTTGAAGAAGGGTAGTGGTAGAGTACTACTATAAATAAAGGGTGAGGGTTTGTGTTTACTCACCACAACAACATAGGTTCCTTTGAGTGTATTGGGAACTTGGGTAGTTGTGTGCAAGTGTAAGGTTTCCAAGTTTTTCCAGAAAATGTGTGAGAGGTTTTGCAATTTTGTCCTTGTAAAAATTGCTAGTAAAAATTTGTTTGTGGATGTAGGCAAGAAGTGCCGAACCACGTTAATTTTTGAGTTTGTTTCTTTAATTTGTTTCTCTTGTTGTGTGTGCTTCCGCTGTTGCAGTTTTTATTTTCCCTCTGGTACCCAACAGGGCCAACTATAAATGAGGTAAATCAAATTTTGAGATTTTTTTAAAATAAAAATGTATATGTTAATTTTTTTTTATCAATATATGAGAAACTCTTTGTCAAAAAAGAAGTGATTTTTATTTTGTTAAATTATAAAAAAAATGTTTTTTTTAATAAACTTAAAGCCTAAACTTTAATACCTAGCAGTTGAACCGGCCTGGAGCCTGACAAAATTATTATAAATATTCGATAACAACATTAATGATTCTTATTGATTGATCAAAAGCATCGAATATATATAAATTACACACCTTCCAAATTTTCTTTGACGTGTGAATATTTTTTGGAGTTTTGGGCACCTTTTGTTTTTGTCTGCTACGCAGTTGCACAAACACAAACGATGACCCGGTTCGGAGTTTCAAAAGAGGAAGCAATATAAGATTGATGATCAACAAAATTTTGAATCCATAATATGGTGTCAATATATTTCCATTATTACAAATTGTATGTCATAATTGATGGGGAGTTAATATTCCACCCCCCCACACACACATATATGAAAATATTATGCCTTCTAAAAATAATGTTTTTTTTTATATAAATTTGGTAGTATGGCGAGTTGGTGACTTCTTATTGAACGAGCCATTGGTCCATTTTTTTAATTAAATTAATCCACCGGTATGTCTTGCAATTGCCATGGCTATATTATTTTGGTACACCGTATACGTCCATTTCTACAAAGATTCAGATTGCTTCATTTTATTTTCAGGCTGAATACAAGGTGCTACTTGTATGAGCCCATAGATTTTGGTAACCATAATACTATGTACGTAGTATGCCAATGTTATTTAATAAAACCGCATGCAGAGAGACCTTGATGACTGCTTTGGACCATTTGAGGAATGTATCGACAAATCACGGTACGACCATATATATCCACAGCTAATTTGTGCGTTTTTGTTTTTTTTTTTTATAAAGAATTTATAGGACCATGTATGTCTGAACTGTACACAATTGCAATTATTAAGCACCCATTTACGTGGGCAATACACGTTGAATTTGTAAAGAAGAGAATAGGGTTTGATTCCTATATAATACTTTATTTTTGTATGGATCTTGCGTTGTGTTTTATGTTTTATCCCGCAAATCCAAACAAGTTATTGTCCGTAAAACTATTTAATAAACTTTCAAATCAATTGCATAAAATCCATTAGATTGTGTTGCTACTTTAGGGGGAAAAAAGAAAGAGCTATAAAGGGTGCCTACCATGCTCTTAAGAAGTTTTCCAAGGGGCGTCCTTACCTGTGTTATTCATTCATTCGAGACATGTCCAGTGGAGCCATATTTGCCAGCTTATTAGTATAGTCCATTTCGCAATGCTCATTCAATGGGTCCCAACATGAATTGATTTTGTTGTTTTCTTGTCTTCCCTTTTCTAACCTCGAACTTTGGG